CTACCAATCCAATGAAAACGTCTACATAACCATTGTCGAAGACAAAAATATCGTTGCCCAAATGTCAAATTCATGTGGCAGGCTTCTCGTGAAAAATCATGGGTTGTTTGTCTGGAATACCTCATGGAACGTAGCATTGCAAGAGTACGTAAAAGCATTAGTTGTTAACATCCTCGTCTAATACCATTGATTTTATATGTAAAATAACAAAAAGAAACGATAAAAGTGACCTCTCGTAGCGGCACAGTTGAAACTAACGAAACAAACACAATTGAACATGTCATTTTCATGTTCAGTGTTGGTTCTGTTGTTTAACGTATAGCCGGAGAGAGATGTCTACAGCTTAGTGGCGTTGGATGACATTCAACACCCATGGTTGTTAAATCTGCTAGCATTTGTCAATTGTTTATCATTTGTTGCATCCACATTTCAGATGTGAATGTTTGGAATCGTTGTTTGAGCTGCGTGTAAAGGAAAGAGCATGTCCAATCAACTGTGATGAACGCCGTAGCTAAAGTCCCAGTGAATGCCGAGCATTTCCAGCTTAGATTTTTTCTTAAAATATTTTGCTGACATTGTCAAACGCAAAGGGACGACACGTTTTGACGAAGTCTACGGCGAACTCATGAACTATCGAAAAGTCAATACAAAATGATACGAGAGTTCGTGGCGCTGCGAGCGCTCAAATGATGTTTGTACTGAAGTGTCGTCAGCTTGGTCAAACGAGTTTATCATTGAAAATAAATATTTTTCATCAGAGCGAAGAAAAATGTATTTTGTAAATAATTCCGACCAGAGATGGTATTGAACGTAATTCAATAGGATTATAAGATGACGCTTTCCGTTTATATTTTTTCTCAAGTTATTCAGCATTTTTGAATAGAGCGAAAGTTATGGTTATCATTTTCCTATGATCATTCGCTATTTTTTACACGCCTAAAGAGGGTGTCGAACAATTGAGATAACAATAGGTGTGTTCTTTTGTTTCGTATTGTTAAATGTTTCAGGTTCAGTGGTCATCTTGTAACATTTTCAGTACACAAGATCATGCAGCAGCAATTTTCACTGACAGTTGATGAACCAAGCTGTTTTTACGGCCTTTACAATGCCATATTTTCAATAAATTTGGTTGGATCATCTGTAATTTACGAACAATATTTAAAGTATAACAATGAGAATTTTTTCTTTACTATCACAAGAGAAACTGATCTAAAATGCATGAAATACGGTTTCAGATATATGAAAATACCTACTTATAGAGGAGAGAAATATTTTAGAGAATGTTACAGCGTTGATGAATACCCGATGGTCAATCAATAGATTTGAGAGCTGCTTTTGCGTGTACTTCGCTAATTTTTGCCTCTTATCCTCAAAAACTCACTTGTGCTGTTCAGTACTCAGTGCAAAGATATCTCAGATTGAAAATATTGTGAATTTAAAATTAAAAAAGAGCAAAAAGCGGTATATATTTTACGATATGCTCATATTTTGTACAATAACGAAGTCTCTAATTCGAAGGAGTTGCATTTTGGTCAAGAATTATCATCATATTGTTTGCAATAAAAACGCTATTATTCAGTTATATTGCCATAAATACACTAATGACAGTAAAATTGCGTACAATCATAAATAATCTGAGAACATTAGAAAATAAAGCTCAAAACCCCCTGAAGCGATAGTTCAACATATACAATTAGCAAGGAACATAATGTACTTAAAATTATCAATAAAAATAAAAATCAGTGAATTGCAAACGCAGAAAAATGAAATCAGTGAGTAAAACAGTTTTTATAGTGAATTTTCCAAAGTTGAAGGTCGTCGTTTACGTAAGGTTTCGACGTCTTTCTTCCGACCTACGATAGAAAAATACCACAAGTTTTTGATTGCAACAATTGCGATCGCAATCAAAATCTATGTCACATTTGATTTACCTTTATTTATTGATCGGCTATTAATGTTGATACGATGTGCTTTATTGGATTTGCCGCTGTTGTCTTCATCGATTTGAAATGAATACTTTCCATTTGTACGGTTGGAAAAACCATTTTCGGTGTGTCGATCAACGGTTTTGTGGCATGGCCCAAGGAGTTGTGACTGTTTCATGAAGTCTTCGAGAAGCCATTCTGTTGAAGAAAATGAAGGGAAAGATAAAATTAAATTCTTCGGAAATAACCGTCAGATATCAAATGCAGAATGTTGTAGGGGCGTCAACTTGACACCATCAAGAATCTAGAACAAAATAAAGTCAAAAATTCACATCTATTTACCATTGTTTTCCGTGATTCGTGTTATGTTAGCCAGAAGAAACTCTTTATCTTTTGCTTCGATGTACAACATCTCTTTGAGCAATTTCACCATTTCAATGCGGGCTTTCGATTTTGAGCGCAAATAGTAAACAAGAACACTGAAACCACAGAAAATTATGATGAAGTTTACGGATCTTTATGATTATTTAGATCTGTAAAGTCATTATTTCAAAGAGTCAATTACCATAAAGTCAGCAAAAGTAATCCGATCGCTGCTGGCCGAACTAGGAACATAAATAATTGCCACAGGAAATGATTCTGAAAAGGAGTTGTGTATTTTCAAGTAAAGAAAACATCTGGTAAAGTCTAGGCTTATCAATAATACCTCTTGCATCTTCAAAATATCCCCTCGAAGAACATGAAACATATAAACATGGTTGCGAAACGGTCCACACATTTTGCTCACGTTCATTCTGAAAAGGAGTCGTTTTTTAGTTAAAACTTGGTTCTACTCATAGGTAATCAATTCTGAGGCAAAAACCTGAGATTAACACTTACTGAGTCAAGATATAAAAATATATAACGATGACAATGGTTAAAGAAACAAACATCATTGCTAAAAATAGAGTAAATGTTTGCGATGAGCGCCAAAGCTTCGACGGCGGCTTACAAAAGTTGATCAAGACCAGTTTCTGCGAAGAATATTTAAAAATGTATTGTTATTCGGTAATAGAAGTTGTTTGAAATCTAATAGAGAACACAATTGACTGGCATTAAGACAATTGCCATAAAGATGATTGTGTTGATTTTCGATTTCTTATAGAAGGACTTTCAAATTCGTTTCAATTTGATTTAAAAATGTATTTTTCTTCTAAAACATCTCTGTACAAACCTTCAAATAAAACGTGACAATCATTTTGAGAACAATAACAGCAGAAAGAGGAGGTGAAAAGAAAATTCCGATCCACAGAAGCGTTTGATTGAAAATCAATCCAAGACAACCACGTGATATATTGAATTCGGAGAGTCCAATCCAACTCCAAACATATTTATAAACCAAAAACCTAATCAGCCGAAATATCGTACCAATGCAGACGACAAACATAAATTCGATTACGATAAGGCGATAAATGTTTTGTGCAATCCACGTTTCCCAGCATTTCTATGAAAATATTTTGTGTAGCGTTAGTTTAATTGTAGAGTAAAACATTGAAAGTGAAGAGTAATCCAGTAAAAAGAGAGTAAAAGTAAACCAGAAGAAAGCATTACCTTCTCATCCACATTCGATAGCCAAAACCATGCCAGCGCCGTGATTATGACTATGTTCAACATATAATTGCGAATGAGAGCTATATGCAACTGAGATCGTGGTGACCTGTACATACGGACGGTTTTCATTTCCAAGCTGAAAAATGTAACATAAACGTGGGTATAAAAAATAATAATTTTCATGTAACCAAATACTCACTATCCTAAAAATTCAAACAGAAATTGGCATAGCAAGAGTCCAAGAACTGCTACGGTTGGCAAAAACAACGGGACATCGTTTATATAAGAGAAGAACTCATCTTTTACATCGAAATACTGTATGAAATGGAAGAGGGAAAAATTGTGATTTAGTGTTTAAAATTGAGTTGATAAAAGTAGAGAGTCTATCTAAGATAGACAACTTCACTTGAGAAGAATAAAGTATCTCCAATTAAAATTTCTCTTTCAACTGCTGAAACCAATAATAAGAAAAATCTGTTCCTTATTAACAAGAATGGTTTTGCTAAGGGCTACTTCAATCCAAAAAAATACGAGTACCAACCTCAACGACATCCGCTATGAAAACAATTGAGCTGCCGATAATGATTAAAACAACAATGACAAACATCCAAATCACAGTGTGTATGATGTACCCGCAAATCTTTTGTTGCATCGATAGGAAGCACTCATTCTCATAAATTTCATGAACAATTGATTTCAATTCCAAAAAAATATTGTAATGTTTCATGTCAGCCGCTCTTTGGTTTGATATACCAAAATCCCATGAACAGAACAATTTATGAGCGCGCAAAACTTCTCCACCAGATGTTGCAATAAAACTTTTGCGATAAGATTCAGCCGTCCTACGGTGGTAATGAATGAAATGTTTTCCGGTCATAAATGGTGTAGTGTAAAAATAAACGAACACGCCGCGAGTACTCACGTTATCGAAAATGTGATGAATGTGACTGCATAGAAGCACATCATCGTCATTAAATAGGCGAACGGTAAACTATACGTACTGCTTCCATATAGTTTGATGCGCTGATCTGTGTATGCTCCATAAAACAAGGTGGAATTCTCCAAGGAACCCTAAAACATCGAATTATGATGAGTGCTATCTTATGTTTTGAGTAAAAAATGTTCGACTTTGACGTGGGTACAACACCAAAATGTGTGTGTGAGAGTACAACAATCAAAAATAAAGGAACTAATATCACATGTATGCATGCACTACAAACTAAAAATGGGGGCGAAATGGTATTGGATCATTTTGTGTTCAGAACAATATTTATTTTCCACAGGCCCGTTCAGGCAGGACAAACATCGAGAAGCGTTAAATTTCGATTCATTTTTTTACCTGTTCCAATCGCATTGTTTTCTAATTTGTGTCAAATTGTGCACGTGATCTTTAAATGCAATGTGATAGCCGGCTTCAGACAAAATAAATTTTAATACAAAATAATTTTCGTGATCGATTGTATGTCTTTTGATTTCTAAATATTCAAAAAGATGACAATTTGCGAACAGATAAAACAAATTTACCTCTGCTGTGAACAAATCGACAATATTGATTTCTTCATGCAGTTTATCCGTGTTCACAATGCGAGATCTTGGATAAGTCTCTGGTTTCTGTTGAATATAATCATTCAACAGTTGCGGAAGAACAATAAACCTGTTTGAAGATGGAAAAAAAGTTAATTTTCAAACCGAAATCTTTCAAAACAAATTGAACTGCCTTACAAAAATGTGACTATCATGAGAAGTAAATTGATCACAAAGAGAAAACGGAAGAAACGGAAATAAGTTTCGGCGCCGGCACCAAAATGTCCTTCGATTTCTTTCATCGAATCGTTCCACAATCGCAAATTTCGCATGGAATTCCGCACCATTAGCTTGGATTTGGTCGAAAACAACCCAAACACATGTAGAGCGCGTTTCCAACGATTTATACCCATGCGATGACTGCGTTCTCTCACGATGTGCAACACATTCGATTTGATTTGCCGCTTAATTGACAGCGATTGTGGCAGAGCTCGTAATGTTTTACTGTGAACAAATGGGTTTTTGGTTAAATAAATGGACTTTGTTTAGCTTTTTGAATTGAATAATCTTACTTTCGAATTTGTGTAGCGGTTGCACTGTCTTCCATCAAATAATCGTATTGTTCAATTTCCTGTACAAATTGCTCAAACTCGGATTCGTTGTCAACAATCCGATGAAGTTGACCGTCCAATGACAGAGCGGTTGGTACTATTTTGTCGTAAAAAAATGAATAGGTCCGTGAATTATTGCTATTTTTCCGGCAATGACAAGGTCCAACTTACACCTTTGTAAACGAGAAGGCATCATGTTGATGGTTCTGTTTTGCCGTGATTTCGACGCACTCGTCAACGATTGCGACCATCTTCGAACATTCTAAAAATAAATTAAATGTTATGAAAACTGAACGAAGTCCAAAATATACACATATTTACCCCTCTGGAAGCACCCGATGAATTCAAATTGGATGGACTCAGTGAACGGAGAAATGAGACCCTGCGATTGATTCCATTGTTGTTATTATTTATGAAAGAGGTATCAGTCTCTTCATCGGAATTAAGATCACCCGATTGTTTAGTGATACTCCTGTAGATTGGCGATGCCTCTGAGTCCGTATCCATCGATGGCGATGATGTTGTAATAATTGGAATCTCGAAGAAAACTTCTGGATCAACCGTGCTCTTTTTGGTATTATGACCATTGCTTTTGTTCATAATTTTAACATTAAATTTAGTTCAAGCAGTTGATGTGCACTACTTGAAACACACTACACACATCAGCTGTATTTTAAGTAATGCCGTAGTCTTTCCTTCTTGCTAACATAGGAACTGTGAAATTTATAACACACTTTGTCTCAAATCAATACGTTGAACTTATTTTTTTGGATGAAAAAAAGCAAACAATAATAGAAAACAAACAAAATGTTGAAGAATGTCTGCAATGAAGAAAAGAAGAAAAACTCACACAAAACTGACATTAGTCACAATGCTCAGCTGACAATAAGTGACATTTGAATCTGAGTGACATTTCGTTCAGTTTTCCAACGAAACATTTGAAAGGAATCACTCGAACTGGAAACGTACCGTTGATGTGGGTAATAAAACCGATAGCAAAGCTATTGTTGAAATGTTATTTGAGAAAAACAATCGAACAAACATTCAAAGAAAAACAAATGTTCAATAATAAGTGACGAGGGAGTTAAGTTGCATGAATTTTCATGCTTTCACCGGAGCAAATGTATGAACTTTGATTGTAATTTTTTTACCTTCACTCATCAATAATAGTTAAGCCTTTTTGGACTTACAAATTTGCAGTACATCGTACGATTGCAATGTTGTCTTTGCTATTTGTCCTAAATAATGGAATTAAACTGAAGATTCCTGTAGAAATTACCATATTAATTCATAAAGACTTATTGATTTATGGATTCATTTCAAGAGCGATTTCTAGATTTATTTCTCTTGATCATGGATCAAATTATATGTTTGATATCCGTGATCAAAACCATGAATCGAAAACATTTTTGTAGATAATATAAAAGTTTCATTTGTCTACTGTAGTACACTGTACTACGCAACATCGTTAGACCACTAACTGAATAATAAAAAGAGTATCTGAAATACTGCAATGTATTAACGTCGAAAACTTTGCAGCTTGAATCAAAATAGTATTCCGATATGAATGCCAAAGAACTGTTTTTTGATGCGATTGAAAATGCCAAGATTTCATGTGTGTGGTGGACAGTGACTCAGTCAATAATAAATTGATGATATATTACGATCGGTCATTGATGTTGGACAAGTAATTTTCTTTTGTTTTTATATCGTCCATATTCTGCCAGCCGCTTTTTCATTTGAAGTTGGCCAGAGCACAACAACAGATACCTCGACAAAGATAAGGCCATGACAGTATATTTTTATTCGCCATAAGTATGTCTCCTTCAAAATGATCAACTTCACGTTCTGACTTGCACACCTGTTTCACCATTAGGTCTCAAGTGGCGTTTTTTCTACATTCTTATCAATTTTAAAATTTATTTAGCCGATAAGTGTCTAGTCTTTTTTCGCACACTGTTTGCTTACTGCCCACTTACTTGATTTTGTTTGATTAACGTTTTAATTGTGGCCATAGATAGTTTTAAATCAGCCTTCTGGCAATAACAACGTTTAGTTTTCTCGTGAAGTCGTCGTGAAACGAACACACTTGCTTATCATTCATTAAATATTGGTGGAAAACGGTTCAAAATTCCCATGAGTGAACTTGAAATATATTGGAATTTAATTGTAAAAGAAAAATAGTTTTATTCATCGAAAATCCAAAAAATTTGCAGTTCTTAATAAATTTAATATTTTTAAAAAAGACTTCAAAAAATTAGGTTTTTCTGCAGTAAAGTTCCTTTACAGTTCTCATATAAATAAATAGTTCCAAAATGCGAGGTAAGGGCCACGAAAAACTTTTGCATTGAGTCATGACATTATTTAGCAAAATAATCTTCATCTATCAGACGATGATTCATGGTGAACCGTTGAAAATGATATAATGTTGAGAACGTCACGAGTCGAATGAAAAAAAAAACATAGAAAAAACCTCTGGCGTTTAAATTGGATCGATTAATCAATGAAACGCGCAAATCTAGGCATTAAAAATAATCTTTATACGTAACCAATGTTTCCAATGTTTGTTAAAAATGTGATTTTTCGATTTTTTTTCTTGCAGAGATTCCCGTTCTTATAATTCTGTTTAGTGTATTAGCAATAGCCTTAAGTGAAGATCATTGTATTTGGTATAAAACGTGCTACGAAAATGAAAAAGGCTTCAAAAACAATTGCCCATACAATGGTCCTGGTTTTGCTCTTGGTCCCGATGATAAGATTGCAAGAGAAATTATGTTTAATCGATGTCCCGAAGTTTATAAAGACCGTAAGTCAAAATGAAAATCAACGAAGATCTTTGATTCAAACATTGAATTTGATGTAATCTTTTTGCCATTAGCATCTGACCTATTGTGTTGTGATAGTGAAATGATACAAATTATGGAATCCAACTTTGTGACGTTCTCTGGTATTTTTGGCCGATGCGAGACGTGTATGAAAAATTTTCAGATATCAATTTGTTCAATGAATTGTTCGCCGAAACAAAGTCAATATTTAACACCATACATAGAAACGGCACAAAATGGAGATGAAACAAGTAACTATAGTCAAATTTAACCCATTAGGAATAGAGTTTGGTCAATAAAAAAAACTAAACAAACGGTTTTCTTCCCAACAAATTAATAACCTAGTTGAATATATCGATTCCGTTGATTTTAACATAACTAAGGAGTACATACAAGGTGTCTATGATAGTTGTAGTCGAGTGTTGATGCCGTCGTCAGGGAACTATGCAATGGACCTGGCATGCGGTCTATATGACTCAAGATCGTGCAGTGCAGAGAGATGGGTTTGTTTAGCACTTTTTCAACTCGTTAAATTCTCCTTCAAATCACCTTTTTTAATTCCAGTATGAATATACGGGAAATTTCACTTTCAACGAGTTTGTCCCCTTTCAAATCAACTACGTTTTTGGAAATGATACCAATGTTTTCCGAGCTGATACAAAAAAATGCAACGAATCTTATCCGGTGAATATTTTTTTTCTCGAAATTAAGCGCGAACCATATTTTACTTTTTTATTGCATGAATTTTATCTAGAATTCAGTAGAATGTGCATGCACGGATTGTCCTGTATCATGTCCAGCCAATGAAAATATTCCCGAAGACGATACAATATGGCAAATTATCAGTGTAGTGATTCGTATACTCGTCATTGTGGTTTTATTTGTTGTGTCACTGGTTATTGTTGGATTTGGATTTCCAGGTTAGTTCATGTTCAACCAAATTTTGGACAAAGACTGATTAAAAAATCATCATTTTTCATCTCTCGATACACAAATTCATAAAACATTTTAAATTTTCTTTATGATGATTTCAAAATTTCAAACTTGTATTGACAAAATTTGTATTTAACAGCTTTAAGATTCCCAAAGTGGCTCACGGGTACGTCGAAAGTAGACGAAGTGCTTACAAAAGGATTTCAACATTGGGGACGATGTACGTGAATCGAATTATTTTAAATAACAATTATTAGAAGAAATGTTAGCATTTCTCAAAATGTTGTCGTTTTCCCTTCAGATTTCACTCATTATCCGGTGCTTACTCTCCTCGTGTGTGCCATAATCATAATTAAACTTAGTGTTGGTATAGTTTTTATCGAAATAACTACCGATCCAGTTGAACTTTGGGCAGCACCACATAGGTTTGATTTGATTATTTCTATTACTTTGGGAATAAAACATTAATATTTGATATTGAACCAATTCCAGTCGATCACGGCAAGAAAAAGATTTCTATGACAATGCGTTTGGTCCATTCTATCGAACAGCACAGGTTTTCATTAAACCAGTTAAACCACATTATGTAAGAATGGTCTAAATTTATGTTTTGAATACCTCCTTGAATCTGCACGCCTATTAATCGATTTAAATCATACCCAATCAATTTGATGTTTGTATTTCAGGTTAATCACAGCACAGCTGCGGGCTCACTGCAGTTTGGTCCAGCATTTGATAGAGAATTTCTGCAAGAAATATTCCGATTGCAGCAATCAATTGAAGAAATCGGACGAGATGATTCGAAGGGTTTGGAACATGTATGTGTTGCACTGATGGCTTCATCCGATGCAAAGCCGAACATTTCACAGTGCGTTGTGCAATCTTTGTTCGGTTATTTCGGCAACAGCATGGAGGCCTTTAATTCATCTCACGAAGAAAATGGTTACACAATTAATTACTTGGACAAATTGGATCAATGTTTAGTGTGAGTCAGTAGTAAATAGAGACTTGAGACATTGTTTTGAGACGTGATAATTTAATACTTTATTTGATTTTCAGTAATCCATATGACATTAAATGTATGGCTCCATATAAGGGACCGGTTGAACCCGGAATTGGTAACGTTCCGTCGATTTTATTAAACGATTGAATTTGGATTCATAGAAAACGATTTATTGAATTACTTCGTTACAGCATTGGGAGGTTATAAGAAGGCGAGTTCATCCGAAGAATCTAACGATTACAGATCGGCAACCGGTATAATACTTACATTTTTGATCAAAAACTATAAAAATGAGACGTTGTTAGAGCCCGCATTAGAATGGGAACTTGAGTATGAATGAAAACCATACCAATGGAGAGTTCTTCTTCTCACAAAACTGCTTCCTTTGTAGATTCATCAACTTTATGAAGAAATTCGATTCGGCAAATCTGGATATTGCATTCTCAGCTGAACGCTCAATCCAAGATGCGATCGAAGAAATGTCAGAGGCGGAAACTTCAACGGTTCTTATTAGCTACGGTGTAATGTTCTTGTACGTCGCTGTTGCGTTGGGCAATTTTAAAAGTTTCAAAACACTTTTGGTATGATTTGCTTTTGTCTCACGAGCCAAGGATTTAAATGACTAATACCACGTTCCATTCCAATAGTTTCATTCAAAATTTGCACTTGCTTTCGGTGGCATTTTGATAGTGCTATCGTCCGTAGTATGCAGTTTAGGGATATTCGGATATTTGCGTTTACCAACAACAATGCTTACGATCGAAGTCATACCATTTTTAGTTCTGGCCGTTGGTGTTGATAATTTGTTCATCTTGGTTCACGCATACGAACGACTCGATGCGTCAAAATACGCGTCATCAAGTGAAGCTGTTTCACATGCACTTGGTCAAGTGGGGCCATCAATTTTGCTAACAGCCATTACACAGGGATGTTGTTTCGGAATTGGGGCAATAAATGAAATGCCAGCCGTGCAAACATTTGCGTTGTATGCAACAGTGGCTATTTTATTCAACTTTTTGCTACAAATCACCGCTTTTATTGCCCTGATGACGATTGATTCAATTCGATACAACGTAAGTTTGAATTTTTCCCAAAACAATTTTGGGCTGAAGTTCTTTCGACACTTAAAACACTCACCTTATTCGTTTGAATTTACGTATCTTGAGCAATTTTCAGTCTGGTCACACTTAATTGATAAAATATTTCTTTATAGAACGATCGACTCGATTTACTGTGCTGCTTTAAATACTCCCAAGTAACTGGTGATCAATTGCCAATGAAGAGCTGTTTGCAATCACTTTTTGAATCGGCTTGCACACCAAAACTTCTGTTAAACAAGTATGAGTTCATTAAAAAAAAAATACAAAATTTTTGCAAATAATTGAGTAAGCAATATTTTTGCAGATTTTTCAAAGCCTTCATTCTGTTACTATTCACAACTTGGACGTGTGCTTCAATCTATTTCATTCCAAGCATTGAACCGGGCTTGGATCAACAGCTTACAATGTCAGAGGAATCGCATGTTTACAAATACTTTAGCGTATGAATTTGTTTTGTAAAATTTGTTATCATCAGGGTCGAATTTTTTATTTCCTCATTTCTTACATTCGTTTTTAAGTTGATCTCGTTATAGTAACTATATATTGATTGACAATCCATTTTCAGGTAATGAATGAACTACTAGCAATGGGCCCACCAGTATATTTCGTTCTGAGCACTAAATTAAACATGAGTAATATATCTAATCAAAATCTATTGTGTGGAGGTCAATTGTGTAATAAGGATTCGATTGTTACAAAATTACACATGGCATCAACTGCCCCAGATATGTATGTCATCAATCGTCTTTAAATTTAAGTATTAAAATTGAGTGAGAAGAGAATTAACACATGATTTTGTTGCAAAATATACAGAACAAGAGTCGCAAAACCTCCATCATCTTGGATTGATGATTACATTGATTGGTTGGCAATTGGCACCTGTTGCAGAATTCAAAGTGATAATATAACGTTCTGTCCCAGCAGCAGTAAGTCATGCGAACATTTCTATGAGTAAAATTGAAAGTGGTGTATACATACTCTACTTTAACGAAATATAAGTCGTCAAAAAAACATACACTACTCTCAATCTCACCCATTGATTTGTGCAATCAGTTTTTAAATCGTCAATGAGTCAATTATAGTTTGATGCATTTTATTTTTTTTTTTCAAATTATATTTCAAAATACCTAAGCCACACCATGTAAATTACATTCTAGACTCTTCATGCGCTTTTTGTACAAAAGCCCGGGAAGAAAATTTACTTATTAAACGACCGTCCGTTGAAACATTTGAAAAATATTTACCATTTTTCCTCCAAGACATACCGGATTCATTTTGCGCGAAAGCTGGAAAGCCGGCATATTATAATGTAAGAAAAAAAAAACCAGAAAACTCAACGGTAGAACGAAAAACTTAAATTTTTTACACATTTCTAGGCTGTTGACATTAGTAAGGAAAAGGGAACGAGTTACTTCATGAGTTATCATACATCAGTTAGCAAATCGTATGATTTTTACACATCCCTAAGAGAGGCCCGAAAAGTTAGCGATTCTATCGCCGATGTGATTAGAAAGCATGACGACGAAGCGAAATTTTTCCCGTACAGGTAAACGAGCGTTTTATATTTGGCCACGAACGAATTTACACTTTTAACTGTCATAAATTTCATTGAATCGTTTAGTATTTTCTATGTTTACTACGAGCAATATTTGAACATATGGAAAGATGCATCATTTTCGTTGGGCATTTCATTGGCCACTATTTTCACCGTATCATTTATTCTGACTGGTTTCGATTTTATTGCTGCCCTGATCATTCTAATGATGGTCACGCTCATTGTCATAAATATGGGCGGTCTTATGTGGCTTTGGAATATTTCACTGAATGCGATATCTGTGGTCAATTTGGTTGTTGTAAGTATTGTGCAACGTTTCAATTTTGATAAGAAGTCATTTCTTTATAAAAATGTTGATTCTTTTAGTGCATTGGAATTGGCGTCGAATTCGTATCACATATCGTACGAGCGTTTTGTAAGGCAGAGGGTTCGTATGAACAACGATCTAGTGAGGCGCTGATCAAAATGGGTAGCAGTGTTTTTTCAGGCATAACACTGACCAAGTTTTCAGGCATATTAATTTTGGCATTCGCCAAATCACAAGTTAGTATGCATTGTAAATTGACAAAATCGGCAGACTGTCATTGGGTTGGGTACATCTGTGTTTTCAAAACAAATCATAATAATTTTCCGTAATTTGAATGTCAAAAGTCATTCATTATCAATTTTTGAGAAAAATTTACGATTCTGTGGAAACATCGTTCATTCAAATTCTGATGAAACAAAATTTGTTATCAGCAGCTTTATATTTTGAGAACAGAGATTACATGTACGATGGAATTACTTCACTGAAAAAATTTATGATTTTTTTTCATTCGTATTCGTGGAGCAAGACTACGAATATTTGTACGAATGTAGTTTTGCCCAACGAATACGAATAAAATAATCATAAACATGACAGCTTCAGCCAAATCACATTTTTCATTCGAGAAAATAAGCCATAGTCTTTTATCTAAAGTTCAATGGAATATAATTGATTTTAACATTTCATCTCAAATGTTTGCTTCATTCCAATAGATATTCCGTATCTTTTACTTCCGCATGTATTTGGGGATAGTTGTAATCGGTGCGTTGCATGGATTGATCTTGCTGCCAGTGGTGCTTACATTTTTCGGTCCACTTCCACGCAAATCACGAACTTAAGCTAATTTTTACCATTCGTTTACAGAGTTAAGATGTTAGTTTAATTTCCCACGCTAAGTTTAGCCTATTGTAATATATATTTGCAAAATAAATTCCATGTACATTTTTCTAAATAAAAAGATCATTTCGCATTGCGAAAAGAAAAGTCTATGTGTTATTTCCTTGAGCAAAAACATCCATATCGAGCATCGGGTAACATTAACTGTATCTAAATGGTAATACTATGCGATTCTAGTATTCTCGTGCATTGTACTTTTGTTGTTGTGTTTTTATCAATCATGATTGACTGTACTCGTGAGTTCGTGGTTTCATCAACCTCTCTATTAAGCATTTTATGGATGCATGTGCGGTAAAGTACGGCAAAGCACGCACACATTGGAGCAAAACACAATAGCTCATACACAACGCTTATCTGTGTATTGTTATTTCATTTCTCAAAATCTACACTTCTCTTCGTTATATACACCGTATACAGCACGGACACAATCACAGGCGCACACCGCACACACACACACCCAAATCGTGTAGACTCACTCAACGTGCACGCGTATGTGTGCATTTTGTGTGAATGGAATGTTTCTCCTTGTGTATTCGTCTTATTTCACTTCAAATCGGGCTCTCACTCACTCTGTGTGGCTGCCATGTTGTTTTTTTTGTTGTGAATAAAGTGAATCGCGAGGGAAAAACAGGTCCCTTTCGAATAAGCCAACTTTTTTATTATTATTAATTCATTTTCGTTCTCTCATTCATAACAAGAAAAAAACACGCATTCGATTGACACTAATTGCTCGTTTTTTGGCAAAATAGCAATCGTTTTCAGTTCCAGTACATTTCAGTGAGTCACACACACGAAACTGTGTAGCTTTGAATTACGTCAGTAATTTCAAAGTATAAAGAAGAAGTGAAAAAAAAAAATTGTTCGGTTCGAAGGGAGGAAAAAGTTTTAAAGAAGAAAAAAATCAAAATCGCGTAACAAAATACAACAACACACACACAAAAAAAACCACACCGTCACGTCAAAATGATTTAAAATTAAAGACATTCGATGGGAAATCCATTTTTGTTTTCTGTTAATTTCATTTTTTCATAAATAGCAAATCATATTTATTTGTTGTATTCAGTCTTGTGAGTGTCAATATAGTTTATGACTTTTCCGTTCCAATTTTGCGCTAAATCGTTCATCAATCGGAAATCTCTCCCCACTCGCGATTTCTTTTCCCTCAGTAAAACCAAATAACAACAACAAAAAAAGAAATGGAAAATTTTTACTTTATTTTACCCATTAAATTATGTGAATAAAAAAAAGCATCCGCCGTTCGGATATAAAAAAAAAGTTTCGATAACAACAACAACAACTGCAACAAAAAAGTCATCATCCATCGATAGAAGAGAATTTTCATAAAATGTTTTTATGAAATATCTGACACAAGGCCCACATATTAGGTAAGTTAACCAAGTGTGTGTGTTTTTTTCGCCTCATCAAAAATAGTAAATCAAATGTACAGAGTTGTAATTACGAAGAATTCCGTATGTGCATGTAGGGAAAAAAAATAGTTTTGGAGCGCGTATATATCGTCATTTCATCATTGCAATGTGTATAACACCAACAATAAGTGTATAAATAACACACATCGGATGATACAGCCTGCTGCTACATATGTGCCTCAATGCGACAATGTAATCATGTCTCTTCCATATTTTTACGCGCCCAATCAGTGATTTCGCAATCGTAAATTGTTCAGTCTCTGTGCAATAGTTTTATCATTTCCGATAAATCAATCAGCAGTTGCATTTAGATTTGAGGGTTTCTGTAACAACAACAACAGCACAGCGACGAAAAAAAAATTGTTTCAGTAATTTGATTTTGTCTATTCGTGTCATGATGAAGGTCTACATTTTTTGCTCAGTCACTCATAGTTTTCACTCATTTTTACTTTTTACCACCACAATCATACGGTCTCGGTAAGTGCCTGCACCACACAGCAATTGAGCAAAACTTCGGAATATCGCTCAACGGCGTATGATTGAATGTGTACCTCTGTGTTGTCCGAGCGATACAACAGAATCTACTCAATTGTGAACAATACTATGTTACTATATATTCGTTTTCAACTGCTGTTAGGTTCATCACATGGATATATACATGTACATTTTGTTTGGCCGCGACACCAAAACACTCACATTCTTCTGCCATACAGCGGGAAAAATGGAAATTAGGTGTTGGTTTGCGTGTGTGTGTATTATACACAGCATAGATTTTATAGCATAGTATTTCATAGCAAAATGAGTTTTTTTTCTTCTTCTTCTTTTCAGTTTTTCGCGTTCTCTTTGCCTTTCTTCAAATAATTTCACTACCATTCACTTACGATTGATGCGCGTTTCTCGCATACTGTACACATCTATTTTTCAAGCAACCGATTCTCACAAGGTTATTGTACGATTATGTTGTATGCATTTAAATATGTATACATATTCGTTTTTTTCTCTCTCGAAATTATTCAATCGACTTGCACAGTTCTATTTGATGTATCCCTTTTTGTTAATGAAAAACGTTTACAGCCATGAAATTAGAGTTTTTGGCATTTTGACAATGCGCTCGGTTCACCAGCCAAAAAATAAAATTTACAGTTAAATTTAGAAGTTGAATATGTGAATACAATGACAATAATTGACTTTCGATTGCATCTCTATAAACACTTTTTGATGATGCTTCGTTAATTTGGTTTAGTTTCAATTGACATTTATTAGATTCGATTAACAATTCTATAAATATTTATTTTGAATCATCGTTGAATTTCAACCGTTGAAATGATGTTCTTCTAGAAAAATGTGATACAATAGTAGAAAAATAGGCAAATGGAAAAGAATTCGATTTATTTTCCCTTTAGTTTTAAATCGATTTGTTCAAAATATAAAAATTCCCATATTCAATTAAATTGGCCAGAAAACCTCGAAAAATTTCCGTAACAGATACCATTTTTGCTATCGAAACAAAAAGAGATAGCTAAATTTAGACTAGAAAAATAGCTGTATGATTTGCAATACGCTTGGAATTTTAATTACTTCCACGGGCAGGTGCATGTGAACAGTGCATGAAAACCAGTATTATTATTATTTGAAATTCTGATTAGTGAACGGTACTTTATCGTGTGTTGATTGCTTTGTTGCGTCGTTGTATGGAAGCGCATTACTTAATCGGTAACAAAAGTAAACCAAGAATAGATGAACACAACGCTCGATTGTTGTTTCTATTTCTTTTTATTTCAAAGTCAAAGTCAGAAAATGTCGTTATCCGTCGAGGGAGAGAGAGAGAGAGAAAATGCAATGGAGAGTGTGAAATGCATATATGCATATCGTAATATAGGTGCTTTGCAGCACGAGTGAAACGTTTCCAAGTACGATGATTTATCAATCAAAGTGGAAAATTTGCACGGATACATGAACAAGAAGAAAAAAAAATCCGAGTATGCATACTGCTCATGTGCAAAAAAATATATGCCTGAACACACCATACAGTCACATGCACACATGAACATACGCTTTAGTAAAGGTGTGAAACGATTTGTATTCAACAGTTTAAATATAAAATCGAGTTGACAATTCCACTGAAGAATGTGATTTTCCGAATCGAGCAAACAAAGTTTCATCGAAAAAACAAAGTATCGATTTTCTCTCTTTGTTCGTGATAACTGTTCTTTAAACATGTTCAATATACCAAACTATCCACCGATTGCATGCTCATATTGCCTTTTGATTCATGTAAGCGCGCACACACATACATACACACACACACACACACACAATCAACTTACACATTTACACATCGACGTATAACTTCTCAATGGAACAAAATTACGTATTTTAGCGGTCGACCATAACACACAAGCAAAGCAACGTACGTGCGACTCTGTCTAGCGGTGTTATTTTCATTTCATTTACTAATAGATTACAGCGCGTAGAGCAAATTTAGTTTTTGGTGCAGCATCATTGCTGATGCACTTACTTTACACTTGTTCCACTTTGATTCCGTGTGTTGCAACACAAAACAAACCAATTTTGTAACGACCGAATAATCGGTGTGATTCGAAGTGTTGTGTATGTGCAACGAAAAGTCTTACCTGAAGCAAAAACAAAATCCAACAGACATGTTGAATTTATAGAAAAAAGTGAAACAATTTAAATAAAACCACCCAAAAAAAACGTGTTCGTCATAGTTTTTTTTTCGATTATCGTCACAAAATTGTGTATGTCGCAGTTAATAAACATTTTGGCTGGCAAGCTCCGGCACAAAATGTCACGCGCATCTAAAATTGGGTTACGAAAATAGAATTGGGTCAAATCAAACTACACTTGCACACACAGCACATTTTCGATACGAGCGAAAAATCGGCGCATTATGTATGGTGTCATCTTATATTCGACGCATTCGGCATTGTATGTGTGGATGATGGTGTGCATTGGTGTGTGTGTCTGTTCGAAAAAAGGGTACGTGTGACCTAAGTGCATTTATAAAATGTAGATCGATCGATATACGAAGTCTGATGCGCTTTTTCTTCGTGTTTTTTGATTTTCGTTGCATTTCAGCCACATTGAGAGCTTTTTTCCGACACCGAGAAATAAGGTCAATAATAAACTTTCATTCGCAAAACTCAGTGGTTGTAATAAATATATAATACATATACAACAGTCGCAACGCCATTCATATAACAAAAGCTCAATCAAATGCAATATGTTATTAGAACGGACAGCAATTTAATTGACACTCAATTCATGAATAAAAAATGAACGCTAATTACATTACGTGATACGGCCATTGGATGAATAAAAATAGAATTAGATGCATTATTTAGAAGCTAATATTGGTTAAGGTTTCGAATGTAAGCGACCAGTTCTATAAAAGCTAAAATATTATAGTGATAAATCATTCGTTTAATAGATTTTGAAAAAAAGAGAAAAATTACGACATAAATAATAATGTGTGCAACAAATTATGGAAATATTTTTATTCATCCATCGAAAAATATAAGGTCATTATTTAATTCCTGTTTGTTTTTCATTTGTAAATTTTCATTTACCAAACAATGAGGTGTAAATTACATATGCCATAAAATGGGCACCAAGTGTAATTTGAACCGAAAATAGAATAAAGTTTCCTTTGTCTTTGTTGATCTTCCGTGAAATGGGAATATGTAGTTAAATATAGGCCAAATAAGTGAGTCTATTCAAAACAAAAGAAAGTAAAATCTGAACTTATAAGTTCGTCTATAGATGCGAAACGATGCATCAATACCCGCATTGGCGTATTACCTCAAAATACCAATTAAACCTTGTTGAATTAAATTAATTATTTCAAAGAAAAATATTCCACAAAGTGTTAACTTTCCTTTTAAAAATCAACGTAATTTTGTTCCACTCTCTTCCACTCTCTGTACGCCGACACAATATGTAAAAAAAAGCTATTTTGCGCACTATTTTAGCAGCTTAAAAATAGACTGTAATTTTAATGTGTAATTTACATAGTTGACATTCCACCATGTCCATATCGGCACACCACGCAGAGACCCAATGGAGAAGAAGCGCACCATTCAATGAAGCAATAAAAAAAAACACGAACAACCAAATCGATGACATTAGTCAATAGGCAGAAGACATAAAGCATTGACAAGGTTCAAAATAGAAATCAACTTTTCAACAAGCATACAACTTGCACTGCCATTCTCAATATGATACAACATGTGTTAGTGTTGCGTATTAAAGTCCAAATCAGACACATGTGCAAAATGACTCGCACACAAACAATCAACCAAATACGTTAACAAATACACACATTTTCCTCAAGCTCAAGCGAGCAAGCGAGCCGAGCATTATGCGAACCATCATGTTATTTAGTTAGCTATACTGTTATTTATAGCACCACACATATTTACCCTACTTTCACCGAACATTTTTTTCCGTCTCTCTCTCCATTTTTCTTCGCTACTAGATTGTTGTTTTTCTTCCTCTCTTCGGTTATACGCCTCATGGTTTGCGTTTTTTTTTCTTCTTTCTGTTGTTTTGTTGAATATGCAATGAAGCACACTCCACACACACAAACACTTACCGATAGAGAATAACAAATAAACAAATTCGAATGCTTATATGCACTTGTTCATGTTGTGTCGATTGCTGAAAATGTAGATGCGAAGCAAAAATCACACGATCACATCATTGACCGTCCGAGAAAATACCGTTATTAAGAGGTTTTTTCCTTCTTCTTCTTCGTTTCTTCCTCTTCTTTTTCGGTTTCTTCTTCGTCATCGTCGTCGTCGTCGTCGTTGAATACATACCAAAAATTATTAACTCCCGTATTATCAAACTTAGATCATTCGAATATACAAACATACAAACAAATCAACAGTGTGTATAGAGAGAGAGAGAGCTCTGTGTATTGAATGAGTCAATGTTGAATTTGTATGGCGACGAATTGAACAATTTAGTCAGTTCAGCTTCGAATGATAAACGAATCAATTCGAATATACATGTAAATATTTTATTTTTTTATTTGTTTGAAAGAGAGAGAGAGAAAAAAAGGCGAAAAACATATTTTTAGGGCGAATTATATTTGAGTGAACCTAATTTCGATGGAAAATAATAAAAAAAAATCAACATTTTTGTTTGACATTTGCGTAGTACCAGCGACCGAGTGTTAAGTGATAATTTCTCTATTCAATTGAATCCACTGTTTTCGAATGTTCAATTTCTTGGAATTGAGTTTGCTGAGTATTGCGTTGTTATCAACAAACGGAATATATCAAAACAACATTTTGAGATGTGACATTCCGATGGTTTTCAGTTTCATTTATTTTCTTTTTCTGTGAGATTTTTTTTAACAGAAAAATCATGAAAATTGTATGATGTTTTCAACTACGTCTCATATTTAGCCAAACCATACCTTACCTTTCAATTGTGTACACCGAATAGAAAGTGTTTTAAAGCAATAGCTCGGAGCTATTCTGTGAGGTGAATTAAGTGTTTTTTGTTCGGATGTGAACACGAAGAGTTGTGGGCCATTCTTATGGCTTATTCTAAGCAGATACAATAACTTATACCAGATTTAATCACACTCTTACGAAATGCCATACCATTTAAGTGCAGAGCATTGTAAATATGTTCGTCCGATGCAATTAAAAAGTAATTTTGCATACAGATATTGCTTAACAGAGACCGTATAACTCATTTACAACGTATAGACAGATAGTATGAACTTATTTACAGAAATTCGACTAATGATTTAACGACACAATTGTTGTTAATGTGCATTTCTTTTTATTCTGATGTTTCGAATAAATATTTTTGTTTTTAAATATCCACCATACACACACACACACAGAGAGAGAGAGAGAGAGAGAGAGAGAGAGAAATATATACGATGGTCTCATTTTCGTTACTTTGTTTGCATTTTTCGGTTGTGCTCTATTTAACTCATGCAATTATATGCGTTCAAATGAAAAAATATTCGATTGAAACTAAATCGAAAGTCGCAAATTGAAACATTTAATCGTTTTATTTTTCATATATGAAATTTTCTTTATGATCGCACTTCATTAAGAACAATCAAAAGCGCATCGTATGACATGGCACAAAGTACACAGTAACTCTTGCTATATACATTGTGTATATAAATGTGTCATTTTTTTTATTTCATTTACGTATATATTTGATGCTATTTAACAAAAATCATCTGTATTGTTGCCAAAGTTCATGAATATCCTGAGGCATTTTCTTCGCAACGAAAAAGATGGTTTGAATCTACGTCTGATTTGAATTCCGTGTCGCATTTAGCAAACACACGTCTATGTGAAGTGATTCAGTATCCGTACGTGTAAACTGACCTTGAGAATAATGCCAGTCTGTCGACGACCTTTGCTCATGTAAAAAGGGTGGCAGTGAATACACTCTAACGATGTTGATTCATTCTTTTTATTCTGTGGTCGTTGCTGCTGTTGTTGCTGTTGTTGTTATTTTTGTTGCTCTTCTGTCAGCAAATTCATATATAGGCGGCTAGCCTATACAGTTGCAATTGAAAAAAAATGGAATTTGGTAAAGCGTCAAAGGCTACATGGCATTCGACGAAATTTCAGTCTATATACGCAGAGACATAGATATAAATGTATTCATATAGATTCGGGGCAATGGCACTGACCATGTTTGTGTTGCGTGTCTCGACAAACAAATCCTATATGCGCAAAAAAAAACCTCTTGATTACATCTCTCCCAACTGATGACACAGACACAGAGATAGACACAGACATAAAGAACTGAGAATGAATTCGCGCGAAATTCGGTTCGTTGCAGAACATTTTTGACGTGTCAGTGAACGAATCGGTTTGGGTCACAGTGAATAGGTGCGCTTGTGAACATCTTCAATCATATAAATATTTTCACTCAATTTTTCGAACAATTGTGAAATTCTTCAAGTTGTACAGTGATCACATTCTCGGCAAATTTGGAACAATTTTTTTATTTTTGTGCTTTATTCTGTAGAATAAGAGAATAAGATAATGGTTTCAACAGTGTCTCTGATAATAATAATAGTAAAAATAATAATAAACGAAAAAGTTGGTAGATAAAAATAAACTAGCTGAACAAAAACTATCCTAGGAAAAACTTTTATCTTAACCAGATAAAACGACAAAAACTGATAAACATTTTGCCATGTAATCTAAAACTTTTCCGCCTTCCTTCAATTCTAATGATTTATTTGCTTTTCTCTCTCCTTATCTCTCTCTCTCTTTTTCGTTACAGACACAGCAATGAGATTTTTGAGCGTTTAGATTAGAATAAATGCTGTTGATGAAAATCGTTCAGAGAAACTGGCGTATGGAGAAGATAATGATGGATTTCCAACAATACATAATCGAATCTACGTGAATTAAATATTTTAGAACACAAAATCAGCATCTAGAACATCTGAACTGGAATTTCATCAATTCCGCCATTAAACATTTCTAGATCATCGTTTTTCTCTTCGTTCTTCGTTCATTCGTGTCGGGATATATAATTCAGAGCAACACACACACACACACACACACACACACACTCATTCAACCGCAAAATCTCCTGATGTATTACCACTGATCAATTGGAACTTGGATTGAACCAAAAAGCAATACCAAAACAATAGCTCAATTCCCGGTACGGACAGATTTCGTTTCAACCCCTTTGTCAAAAGTTCATCATTGATAGGATAAACAACAACAATAACACGAACATCGCTCGCCAATTCCTCAACTCAAATGAAAATACCAATTCTTCAGCATTGAATGAAACAAAAAAATAATCTGAATTTGTACCCAAAATCAGACAGACACGCATACATACAAAATGGATAGACAGAATACTATTGTATTAATGTCAATTACTGCAATCATGCTCGCTAAATGGCCACATCAAAATGCATAGACGCAAACAAATCTAGAAACAAACAAAAGAAAACAAAAACAAAAATTAACAATTCTTTGGGGCTGCTGTTGCTATTTGTGCATAGCATCCATCATTTTCATCGTTTGTTAATTGCTCTTTCGCTCGGAAAACCCCTTAATATCCCCGCCTACATTAAGTGACCGTTACCCGACGACAGACAGACCGGATAAACCAAAAACAAAACAAACAGTTCAATCTTCAATAAAGCAGACATCAATAAAACTGTTTGTTCTTTCATCGCTGCTAGCAAATTGCTTCAGGTAATAATTTTTTCTCATTTTTTTAAATAATCTTTTAGATAAGAATTGGGAGTTTTTTTTTTAACTTAACACGGGACATAAATACAAAATAACCAATTGATCGATGGTCAACGTGCACTAAACTTTTTTTTTCTTCAACATGCTTCATCGCTTCACACTTAATATATTAACGCGAAATCTAAACACAATAAAAAAAACATTCGATTTAGAATTAGCAATTAATTTTAATTTGTACATTTACTCAAAATAACCAAACACGTAGTACGAATACAAAACACGATGCACTTCAATTCAATTCAAAAATTTTTCAAACAAACTGTGCGCGCGTAGTCCATAGCAAATGTTGATCACGATACTATATTATTAAATCGAAATTTGTGAAAAACTTCCACCAAGTAGTTTAAAACAATTTTTACGTACGATGTTTTTAATGAATAGATCAATAAACGAAAACTATTTTCTCTTATCCAAACAAAACAAAAATTCCAAAATGTTAATGACAACGTGCCTTGCATCCATCAACCAAATCGAATACAATGAATACGTATCAATATCAACCAATCAATCGACGAATGAATGAATGAATGAACACACGCCACGATCAATACAGAACTATTACGAATCTAGACAGAGCCATGAAGTACCCACAACTTGTGTCCACACGCGCTGTTAGCGCCATATCTGATTGGTTAGTAACACAGTTGGAACAACTGGGAGTCGATGCATCATCTGTTTACTCAAGGCTGCTACTCTCACTATTGCATACACCATTGCAAATTAATGCATTAGATCTTGCCGAAATATCGGATAACAAGGTTTATATTTTCAACATATATTTACTTCTTTTTTTTTCATATAACTACTCTTTGTTACTATTTTTTTTTCTACGTACACTCATATTACTTTGAAGCAGTATCGCAATTTTGAACCGACATAAGCTATAGTTATCATACAGTCGTTATATAAAAATTGTCACGAAATTCATACAAAATTCATTGAAAAAAATTTGGTAAAATATGAATATTAAAATCGATTTTACCGCTTTTGGACACTAATTTTAGAGATATGGTATGGGTATATAGTACAACGGGCACAATGATATCATATGCCGTCTATTTTGCGATACTGCTTTCAAGTACATTTTTTTGCTTATGGACTTTTCCTCGAAATTTGCCTTTTTTTAATTGTTTCGTGCAATTGTCATTGAAATTCGTGAATAATTAATTACAAATTAGCAGTTTGCCCTTTTTTTTCAATTGAATTATTCAGTACAGAAAACGTTTTATTTTTTGTAGTCAATTTTTTGTTGTTGGTTTTTTATGTGAAAATGATGAGATTGAAAACATGCAATATGTTCAATGCCTCATGAGAAATTGATGTGCTACACAATATCTTCCCGTTAGTAGCACATAGTGCAGATTTCACCCTTTTTTTTCGTTTAGAATCGTTATTGAACTCAGAAATTCTAATATACATAGAATTGTTCGCGATTTTTCAAATGAAATTTATAATTGAATACAATAAGCAGCATCGTTGAATGCCAATGACATTGCATGTTAAAAGCTAATATTCGGGGATATTGTGTTCCGCATTATAGTATTTTCTCAACATAATCCCCATGCACGCCCATAGTATACTTGCCTTGTATTATTATTGATTGCGGTACATATGTTTTTTTTTTCTTCAAATATTCTTCTGAAAATGTAAATGTTTTTTGTTACTCTTTCGGTTCGCTACGTATTATTTGAACGTACAAGGCTTGTTTGTATTTTAGATGTTGATATTTTTGGTTTGTATTCTATCGGTTTGCAGAAGAAATGATTGATTTATAGCATAATTTATCATCAGTTGCAAGCCATTGAATGAAAAACAGAAGAAAAACGGTATTTTGTCCTAATTTTGATTGGCACGTGTCAAAGAAAAAAAAATCGATGGCAAAATAAATTCAGAGCTAACGTAGCAGAGATTAATTGACATAGTTTAATTAATAAGAATCATTTGGAATAATTAAATGCGAATTGTCAATATTAATGAATTTTTCAGGTTGGAACATTTGCGCGAAATAAATCGTACATTTCGAAAAGTGGCAACGGTACCAATTATCGGCGATTCTCAGCTGCAGATACCGAAGCATTGAAGCGTTTAGCTGCCATTGACAGTTTACTCGAAGCCGTTCCATCCGATCAACAACTTTCAAAAATCGAAACACTTGTGGATGAGCTATCATTGAAATTGCGCGAAATTGAGGAACAACAAAATGGTTTAGATGATTCTGTCTTCGAAATTGGCCAAAGTAACGATAAAGCATTATGTAATTCGGATGTAGTTACGATTGAAAAGGTAAGCGAATTGACTTGTACAATGATATTTAATTGTATGTTCGATTAAAAAAAAAACTGAAAAAATTCGACTTTCATTTCGTGAAAATTTGCAGAAGGCAGAAACCAACGAAGATCCAGCTAATCGATATTTTAGTGCATTTCCGGCATTGTCAGATCAAACGAAAAATACCTATTGCCATAAGACGACATCGTGGCCACAGGTCGATAGCAATAAATATTCACAGATTGATCAGCCGAAAGATTCGAGCAACAACACAACGGCGGAGGGTGGTGCAATTGCAATAATCAAGAAAAAATCCAAACGAAGACGTGTTACCACCAATTCCATGATGATGTCATCCACATTGCCAAATCAATCGGATGTTCGGCCATCGAATCCGCCGATCAATCAGCCAAAGAACAGCAGCAGCATTACATCGGTGGCTCGGCCTGGCCGTAACAACGCCAATTGTAAATCCAATCAAAAGAAAAAATCGTTGGAAATTTGGGATACCGATTTTGATGGTGCTTGGGAGATGGGACGTGACCTAATTCGTGAGTTTGTCTTGAAGCAAAATAATCGTAATCGCAGCATATCCGAAAGTGATGCTGCCCGATTTACCGCAATTGAAAATGATGCAGTCATTGAAAATGCAATGGGCACGGAAAACGAGACGATCGTTTTATCGGATCAAATGAAGAGTGCAGCCGCCAAGGGATACGACCAACTCGATGATGATGAAGAGAATTTGATGAGAGTCGCAGCCGCAGCTACGTCTGCATTGTTCGGTAAACCGTTCGATATGAACATGTACCCGTTGGGTGTTCCCGATACGGAAACCGTTTCGTGTAGCTCCCAATTTACGGACTCCAGTTTGTTCATGCAGAACAACAACGATAAAATGTTGGTGCGCAGCGAAGGTTATGCAACGCCCGATACGTTGGGATCATGGAGTGAGACGGACACAGCGGCTTTGCGTCGTGAACGCGATCATGAACCAATGAATTGTACGGAAATTGCAAAGGGCTACGGCACCGAGATTGGAAGTGACTGCGTCGATTCGGGTTGTGATGAAAACAATTATTTAGCCGCATTCGAGGCAAAGTTTAATCATAACGTTGAAGCATTGTGGAATGATTGCAAGCCAAGTGAATCACAAGGCTTTGGAACGATGAAAAATGATGCGCAATTGAATCATTCGTTTTGGCCAAATTACCAGAACAACAATGTTATCGGCCAAAGCGTTGCTCGACCGCCAAAAATGACAACCGAACAATTCAGACAGTTTTTCCAAGAAAACAATCAACTGCAACCATGCTCAACAAGTAATAATGTAGGTGGTATAGATAGAAGCCTGTTCACGGCAACACAGCCAAATAGCTTAAACTCGAATTCATCGTCAACCGGTGGAATGAATTTGACCACATCCATTTGGACTGATAATCCAAATAACAATGAAGATGACATCAGCTTTTATGCGAATGCTCGTCTCTGGGAAATGAACCAGTCCAAGGCATTGGGTCAAAAATTAAATGTAAGCTTTTTTTCCGCGTTCTTTTTCCTTTTCATACTACATTCAACCCATAATTCATCAATTTGTTTCATTCGGAACCAAGAATTTTTTCCATTCTCCAATTTTAATGGGTTGATTTTTTGATTCTCTTTCAGTTTTACGCAAACGAGCAGGCAAACAATAATAATAATTTATTAGCACATAATAAGGTGAATACAGTAACTTCTGGTGCAGCTGCTTCAAACTTTGACACTAGAAACTATGAAAATTCAAGCTTCTCCAAGTGGTCTGACACTGAAATCCCTTTTTTACCAAATCAACAAGATATTTGCATGAGTCCACCGAAGACAAATGAAGAAAAAATAAGAAGCAATTTGTTCGGAAATTCTTATTTTTATAATTATCAATCATCATCATCAGCGCAGTTGATGAACAACAACGCGACAAATGGACAAATCGTGGCTCATGCAGAAACTAATAACATTGCGGAACAATCAGTTAGTCAAATGCCAAAAGGTGAGTGATTTTTATTCACATCCAATTTTTTGTAAGAATTTCAAACTTTTTTGAGTTTTTGCCAAACATTTTTTGGTTTAACTTTGAAGAAAAGTTGTTGTTTTTGGCTATTTATCGCATTTAGCTCTGGAATTTTTGAATTTTTCCATTTATTTTCATTAATTGGCCAAAACACATCTTTTTCCCTATTTTAAACATTGTTAACTCCGGATATCCTCTCCATTTTTTCTTGCAGTTGAAACACGTAAAGTGACACTTTTGAACCACTCATCAGGTAGCTGTTTCAAGGAAGTTGAACCGTTGTCATCCGAAGCCAAAGAAGAGTTATATTGTAAGATAAATTCGCGAAAATTGCAAGCCACTTCGGTTGAGGTGCTCGATAACGAGGATCTATTGACGTCGGAACGTTCACGTTTTCGGCCCATCAAACAAACGTATGCAGATGGTTATACATTTGACATATCAAATAAATTGGATCAAATCAGTTATGAGCGATCGCGTAGCGGAATGCTGTACCATGATTCGGAAGTGTATCGAGAATATTATGTGTACGATGAAGAGGGAAATGGAGGCAGTCGCTGTGATACGGAAACAAATGCTCCAGCGGAATTTACGCTAAAGTATTGCGTTCGACAGAACGATAAAAGTTGTCAAACCGATGATTTGCCATCAATGCAATCAGAGCCGCAATTTGTGTTTTCACCGAAAATTTTGCTGTCATTAAAAGCCACCGACTCGAATCGTATGCAATCCGCCGCCAACGCCGCCACCGCCAATAACAACAATAATTCGCTGAGCAGTGCCAATATTTCGTCATTGCAAAATCATCGTATGTATTTCCAATGCAATGATTCGAACGATGTGCAATATGACGATATCAATAGTGATACGTATGATAAGTTGGCTGAAATGTCGCAGGAGAGTTGGTGTTTGGCCGAGAACCGTCAATGCTGTAACAATAATAACAATGCGCATGCATTGTGGGAACACTGTGCCACATGCTCGAACGATGTGATTTCGATGCCAGCAAACAGCCGATTAAAAGATGAATTGAGTGCGGACGGTGATGAGATCATGTCGGACTTGAAGTATTTGATTGAAAGCATTTCATTTCACAGCGATTGGGAGGATCCAGAAGCGGATTCACCAACGGACTGCGCCCATGAAAATGATGTATTGATGCAAACACTCAACGCAAAAATAACAGATGCTAGTCGGAATTTGTTGACAGACGCAACCAAACCGAACGGTGATGGCTTCGGTGATGTTGATGATGATGAATTTGCCAGCAATCATATTTATTCAAATGTTAGTAAATTGATATCGGATTTATTGCAACCGGAGAAGGCGCAAACGTTGGTACAGGCGATCAGTGAGAAATGTCAGGGTCGTCTGCTCACAACAACGGATGAAAAATGTGCCGGCAGCACACAATCGGAATCGATGCTGAAAAAGCGAATCACACACAAAACCAAAGATGTACAAACTACCAAAAATGATAAATCGTGCAATAGCTCACCGGAGATGGTAAGCGGAAATGCCAATAGTGGCAGCTATTTCGGTAGTTTATGGGCCTACAATGATAATAGCATATGGCGCAAGGAACTTCCGGCTGAAATCAATGGGAAGCACATCGAAGATGAAGCGAAATCAGCGAATCGATTTAGTGAACAATGGGAACATGCAAATTTGGAAAAAATCTGGAAATGCCTACCAACAACAACAACAACAACAACAACAACAACAACAGCAACAACAACAGCAACAATAAGAGCGACCGCATCATCATCCGAAACACCAACCGAAAACACTGGCGATAATAAACAACAGCATCTCGAAATGGATCAAATGAATTACCCAACTTCTTTACAAAATGACAGCAAATCTACGAATCAACCATCCGCTTTGGATCTCAACGAACACACGAAACTCAGTTGTAACACATTGGAAAAGTTTATGAATCTACTCCGGCAACAATCGAATGCGAAGGGACAATGCCCAGCGTCCGCACATCATTCAAAAAATCATCAGCAGCAAACACACAAGAATCCAACGCGTTCGGATCGAAAGCGTCGTCATTCGGCCACATCTCAAAATTATTTTGATCAACTCAATTATCCGCTTAATAATTGCGATGCTATCGAAAGTATAAAAAAATTGGCAACGAAAACTCTCGGCGATTACAACGGTTGCAATATTTTCAATTGCGCAGCAAACGACAAATCGACAACCACCACAATAATAACGTGCAAATATTGGACGGCATGCGATTCATTCTGTTTAACCTCAACTCTGGCATTCAATAATAACAATAACAACTTTGTCGACGATACGGAAAATATCTTCAATTGCTATCACAAGCAAAAGCAGCAACAACAACAGCATTCAAAATATCAGCCCGAACCAACGATTATGGACACACTCAACGCAACCGAACCGCTTACAATTAACTCAACCACATTTTTGGCCAAACAGATGGCAGCCATGGCATCGCGTCCCTTAACTCGTTGAACACATTCAAATGCAGCAACACTTATAATGATTCAAACAGCTACACCGATTAATTCGCTCTTCAGCATTGTTCTTTGAACATAAAATTTCGAAATAATTGTAGTCAGACATAAGGAAAGAAAAAAAAAGAAAGAAAAAACACCCACAAAGGTCTTATTAGTTATATTGGACTTTAATTCATTCGCAACCATTTAATTTATGTTCCAATCATTCTTTGCCAACATTTTTTTTTTCGTTATAGTTTATGGCGTCAATGTGTGTCAAAAAAAATAATTTATGATTGATTCTTACATTTCTTATGTCGCTTAAGAATCTTCTCGATAATTATTATTAAATTACAAATGTATAAACGTGTCACCGAAACATACGTAAAAACAATCAATTCATTCGTTTCGCTCATCTTCCAAGCAGAGAATATCTAAAGAATTTATTTGTCAGTTTTCGTAAATTTATATTTAGATTCGATTCGATTCAGGCGCATCCACTATTGACACATTGACCGAAATTTATTTGAAACTCCATGTTTTGAAAACGAGAAAAGAAAAATTGAAAATGAGATTTATCATTGAATCGCGTGAAAATGGAAGATGAGTTTGAAACCTATACCTATATTGCTGGTATCTATTACTTTGCACTTTGAAAACCAAAAACAAAAAAACAATATCGATTTCGTTACAAACGTTCACGTTTGAAACGATCATGTGAAAATGTCATTTTCCAGACTCGGTGGTCTGTCGAGGGAATTGTTTCAACAGGCAATACGAACAAGTTGCGAATGAAATATTTGCTCGGTATTCAAAGTCGATAGCAACAATTTGTAAGCAAACAATACCAATATATTTTAATTAATTGGCCACAATAATAGAAAATAAATCTTTGGTACAAGAAACTGTAATTTATTCCGATCTGAATTTAAATTGATATTATTATTTTTTGCTAAGTGGTTTAATATATTGAAGAAAAAAACCTTCACCGGAACATTAAATCACAATTGAGCATTTACCATGCGGAAGATACTTTTTGGATTGAATTGTTTCATCGTGGAATCAGTTCGAAGTTTGAGACTCGTATGTCGAGTTCCACTTCAAGGAATATTGAAGTGGCCAAAAAAAAAAACTTCCACCAAGAACAAAAACTATTAGTGCTTTATACAGTGGCAAAACTTCTGCCTCATAACAACTCTAAGCAGAAGAAAAAGCTTTACAAAAGAATGTACTGCGTGGCGAATATTCAATTGTGATTTGAATACGGGAGCCAACGATGCTTATTCCCAAAATTCGAATGAAAATGTATAGTTTCTGAGATTCAATATCAAATTCTCCTGCATTGCGCTCCTCCAATCTACATCTAACGATAATAGTAAAAATGAAACTAAGTTTTTGGTTAGTATTGTTTTTAAGCAACATAGTTCATCTTCAACAAGACTTTTAGGAAAGTTTCCAAATTCAACCAGAAAATCCTCTTAATTTGTTCCCCCTTTTGCTCACACGATTTTCTTTTCAGTTCAAGAATTCGAATACGGAGAGCGTTATGAGCAACGCAATCCAAACATTGGTTGAAAATGTTTGACAAAACAAATGCTTGAAGATGTTTTCTTCATCAATTTCCACATTGTACATAAGAACAGTTTCAAAATTGAAAGTTACCAACTTTAAACACGCCCCCTGTATAAATGAAGAAAAAAAACATGAAAACCCATGTGAACCATTTGCGGAGAAATTCAGTGCACAGCGGAGTTGTGCGGAGTTCGGCGGATATGCCATACATACACTATATCTGAAGCAATGCGCTCATGGCTACTTTGATGTGTATTGAACAATAGAAATGTAAACACAGCAAAGAGTGCTATTTCGCTCACACGTATAGCGTATGTACGGTATCTCCGCCGAACTCCGCACAGCTCCGCTGTACACTGGATATCTCCGCAAATGGTTCATTTGGGAACAAAGACAAAAAAAAGAATTTTTCCTTTCGATTTCATAAAAAGTTCAAAATGAATATGGTATTCAATGGTTCACACAATTTCAACTCATTCGTATCTGTGTCCGAAATATTCATTTTGGATGTACTTGTACACATTGAGCCTCTAATTACTCGTTCAGTACATAAAAACAATGTCTTTGAATACCAACCATCACATTAAGAGGATTGAATGATAGAAAGCAGTGGGCTTCGGAAACATTTCATAGTTTTCAAAACACTTGAATAATAAAATGCATCCCGAAAGGAATGTTCAATCGAATGTAATTTAAATAGCCCTAATAAGTAAAAAAAAAATAAATATGGGATACTCAAAATGATAAGAAAAAACAAGAAATTCATTTAATATTCTATAATAGGTAACCGACATCCCATTTTGTGTATATATAAAAGAAGTAACTTAATTATATCCATTAATTTTGGGCTATCGATCGGTCAATCGAGTTGGTCGAGCCAGCGTTCTCGCTATCATTTGTCATGCAAGCTATTGTTTATAAATCGGCGCATTTCAAGAAAAAAAATACATGCGCGCATTCCCTGTGCCAAACTTTACTTGCCTGTCAAAATTCGTTGTCGAATCCTACGACCGACGCGATTGTCCACAATAGACAACCAATTACCCTTATATGTATGTTGAAAGTATTGTATTTTTTTTCTTCTCCTTACTTTTTGGGTAATAGCTTCAATTTGTTGTCCTTTCAGTTGTGTCTTAACTTGTTTTCTTTTTCTTTTTTAAATTAAATTACGTTTTTGTTCCTTCTTTTTCGTTTCCATGTTATCTTTTTTTTCTCTCGACCTATCGTTCTGTTCATGTTTAAAAACGATTAAAAGCTAATTCAACACATAATCTTAAAAAAAAAAGCGAAAAAAAATATTCAATCAACAAAAGAATTAAAATCACAAAAAACATGCAATTAATTTAGGAATCTAATCATTACATGATATTAAAAGAGCAAAAAAAGCAGCGTAAAAATTAAAAAAAGATGAAAAAATGAAGAAAAAAAGATAATCGTAAGAATCTGAAACGAAATTTTTTTGAGTTCAATCGTATGAGAAAAAAAACATATAACAGAAGTAAAACTTGAAATCATATTCAAATTCAATGACTGTTCATTTGTAATTGAACTGTTGCTGATTTTTCATTTTAGATCGAACATTTGATTGTCTTTCTACTCACTTTTTTTTGGTGGAGAAAATCCAAGTGAAATAATAAACTAGGATCAACAACATATGAACAGTCTTTGATCGTTTGGATTTGATTGAGTAGTAGTCGAGTTAACTACAAACCGATAAAATACGACCAATATAGTGAGCTCAGTATCGGATGGGTGTCATGCTTCAAATCCAAAACACAATTGTTCATAGCTTTGCGAGAACAATATGTTAATTTAAACCGAAGAAAAGAAAAACCGATTTCATCATTTATCTTATTGGAAATTCTTCCGGAACATTTTTTTCCCTTTAATTTATTTATTTTAAGAACCGCCTTTCAAAGTTAATATTGTTTTTTTTTAATACACATCAAAATGTCAGAACATTTTCAGTTCAGACAGCAAAACACAAACATTTAATTTTCACATGAAGTACAAAAGAAAAAGAAAATACGTGAAACCTATGTATATTTTTTCAGTTATTTCCACGTAAACTGGTTAAAACAAGAAAACAAAACAGCTGTAAAACAAAAGCTAAAGATTATTTAAAATCAAATAAAATGAAGGAAAAGAATCATCACATCTGAAGAAAAAAAACGCATGTGTATTATTTTGCATTATTAAACTTATCTTTATGACTATGGAAGTGAATGTATAGATATATGTGTGGATGTCAAATCTAGTCGGATGTCAAATCTAGTCAAAACGTTGTTGGCAAGCAATCGAGAATTGTAAGTATACTACGGACATTACATATTAACTTCGTTGTGCCACATGGAGCCGTGAATTTTCCTCATGCAAATAGAGCTTCAAAGGATTTTCTATGCGAAGTTTGTAAAAATGTGAGTCTCGTCTCAGTGCATTCAAAAGATGCGCATTTTATGAAATTAAAGAAATGCAACAAGCAACAATAAGCCAACATTAAATCTCTGGTATTCTAGTAATACGCTTTTGGCATACGAATTGGCGAATTAGATTTTGTTTTATTTGTGAACATAGGTGCTGATGCCAAAAAAGTCAGTAAGGGTCAGACCGGTGCCGGATTTGGGCACGTGCAAGGCGTGCATTTGCACGGGGCGGCAACATGTTTGGGGCGGCAAAATCCCAAATTAAAAAAAAAAATAATTAAATTATGAATGCAAAAAAGAAATGGTTTGCGCCAAATGTTTCAGCTGATTTATTGAAAAAAATTTCGGCTCGCTCCGCTCGCAAGTTGACATGTATTTTTCAATCTAATTCTACTTGCACCGAGAGCCAAAACGTCTTGATAGTCGCCACAACGCCTTTAAGCAAATATTTCGGTTTTCTGTGCGATATCAAAGCCGTGTCAGAAGAAAAATTATCAGCTTTTGGAAGAACTATTAACCCTTTAATGCGCAATTTTTTATTTTTGAATGATTTTGATATATGTTATGTTCCACGTTAAATAGAAAAAAAAACGAGGAAAAGAGTCAAAGCTGTCAAATCGCTATAACAGCCTGAATAAATTAAATTTCATAAGTTAAATTGATGTGTTTTGGTCCTATGAATCATAATTTGACAATCGAAAAGAATGTACAAACCCACAAGATGCGAGGATGGAAAATTTGTAATTCTGCTATAATTTCGTATTTCACAGCAGTACATGAACACAAAAAACTTTCGATACAGCTAACCATATATATAAAGTAATGTATTTAATGAAAGATGGTTCAATTCCCTACATTGGTTTCCAAACAAGTATGCAAAAATATTCAGTGGTTTCTTAGTTATAGCGTTTGCAATATCTGGTTACTTTAGGAACCAATGCGTGATAAAGAGTTAAAATTTCTTTGGGAAAATGTTCGTTTTATTTCTTAAATTTAGGGCGGCAAAAATACAATTGGCACGGGGCGGTAAAACACCCAGATCCGGCACCGGGTGAGACCAAAAATTCATGATGGGGTCCAAAAAATCCATTCTATCTAGTGTGACTCTTAAAATGGTTTGAAGAGCAAAAAAAGGATCTTAAATTCTCAAAATCGAGTCGAAATTGTTTTGAAATTCTGATATTTTTATGTGATATTTCTATCTCATTTTAATAAAAATATTCCATAGTATTCTCCGGTGTTAAATTATAATTTATAATATTACGGTTGCACGTGCTTTCGGTCTGCCTTTTTTTATTTTCTACTAGACAACACAAGTAGAAAATGATGTTGATTTACGAAACTTATCGATTGAGAAGCGACAATGTCGATTTCCAGACGAACGTTGGACTTTGAGTGCATCTCTCCCTTATGGTTATGGTTTCATCTCCTATTTGATTTATGCTCGGATTTCAGTTTGAATTAGAGCTTTGCAATTACACTCTACACTTTGCACCAATCGAATGTAATGAACTCAACTTTCAAAACAGAATGATGAAAAAAATCTTTCTTTGGTGTTTCATCCGTTTTCATATTTTTCAATAGACAAAAATCAGTACTGCAATCACGCGCAGATGAAATGCATTGATGAACAGGACACTAGAAGATTAGCGCGTGAAAATCATATAAGAATCAAACCATATCTTTCTGCTTGCACAGAAATGCATATTGACTTAGTAGATTGTAGATTGAGTATTTCCATGGAAACGTTGCCACTTAAAATAAGAGGGAAAAAACTTGGAAAATTATCATCGAATCGAATCACCTTTAAATTCAAACCCAAATAATTTACAGTTTTGATCGAAGGGACAAACGCGCCCGCTATAAGCCGATTAATGAGAATGATTTAACTTCACGGGTTGCGTCAGTGTCCATTGAAATAAGTAGTAAATCGAAACAATTGACTCTTACAAACCTGAATTTGGTCATCGCCATCGGTAGCATCATCGGCCTTTTTTTGGCGCATCAATTCTCAGTTTGGTTGAGATTATTCATTTTTGGATTTTACATCGATTTTAAATTATTATCTATCATCGATAACAATTACTATAACATTCATCAAAATCATAATAATATTGTGTCAATTATTATTATTGGCTGCGCCAATAAATCCAATCTAGTAATTTAGATTCATGTGTCTTATCATAATATACAATTTTTGAGTAGCACAGAAGCAAAGTGTGTTTTTATGATGTTAGAGCGTCGCTTTATTTCACAAGTCTGACTTGCGTTCTACATTATTTTATGTATTTGTTTGGAAATCGACTGATTTGAATGTAAGCTATTCTAGTAGTTTCAATATAACAATATAAATTCATAGTGCACACGTAATACCATTTTCTACGGTTATATCCAAATTCCCATAATTGAAATCACAATTTGAGTTTGACTGTGTTGTTGTTGTCGTTCAAATATGTGTCCTTCATTTTCCATATATGACTCAATTTGATTAAATTTTTATTGATTAATTCCCTTCATATATAAAATTAGCGATTCATATCTGCTATGCCTATGGTCAGTTCATTTTTATTCGTTCACGACGCTAAACTATTTTAAAATGATTTCAAGTGGATTTTTCCTGAATTTTTGCAGTGCAATCAAGTTTGCAACACAGAGCATGATCAACGCATTTATTAAATTCTCAAAATGTTGTCGTGAATTTTTAAATCGTTTTTTGTTCGAGAAATTGAAGAAAATTTACAAATACTTCGAACAAAGCACTTTTTTTATGAAATTCTGCGAAGAAACAGGCTTTCATGGATTCCGTCATATTGCAGATAGAAATTATACTGCGATTGAAAGGTTTCATTTGCATTTTATTTATTTCTACATGGTAAATGCAGCCTTTATTTCATTTTAGAATTGGATGGATGGCGCTGGTCATGTTGTTTACTTACTTTGCACTTTCTGTTTGTATTGATCAAGTGTTACGTTTCATTATTGATCCATTCGCTTTTACTTTGGAAATAAACTATAACAGTTGGTCATACGATATCCCAGCGTTCACTATTTGCACAGATTACACAAACGAAACTTTTATTGACCAGTATTACCAACTCTCTCAAAATACCACATTCATCGATTATGACTCAAAAGCCTTTCATCATTATATGACCATAATTGGCGCTTTGAATGCAGAAAATATCCATTCGATCGAGGTTTTTGAAAATACTGAACTGTTTAAAAGTCTTACTGGAGAAGAGATATTTGATATCGCATTAAAAGTATAAACACCTTTCATAATCCAATCCTTGAATTTAATTTTTTTTTAAATGTTTCAACAGCAAAAGTTTCTGAATGCTGAATATGACTGGATCCGCCCCGTGGTTACCGAAGCTGGAATATGCTGGTCAATGACGAATTTATTCGAATTCTTCATGGCAATACGCAATGAGTATGATATTATCAATTCAAATATGTAACATATTTTTGAGCCATTTTTTTCTTCTTCTGTAGTTCTGATCATAAATTCGAAAAAAATTATCGTCTCACGAGAATTATATGTCGATCAACTCGAGAATGCGAACTACCTATAGAGTATACCCATCCTGCTGAAAAAGCAATGATTGTATACATATAACACATTTTTCAATATTTTCATGATCTCTATTCGAAAAACACATTTTTTCCACAAGTATTTTCATAGCTCAAACGACATCCTCAATATGGTAAAATCACCCAAATCCGAATGGAATCCTGTCACTGGCATGGTCCAATTTTTTATTGATTTCAATGAAGTGGTCACAAGCAATCGATCTAAAATGTTCGGGATTGAAAGCCGCAAGTGCCGATTTGACACAGAAACTACTTCCGACCGAAGCTACCCATTGGGATTGTATACACAAAATCTGTGTTTGATGGAGTGCAGCGTTGATGCAGCAATCAATCTTTGTGGATGTCAACCATTCTTCTACAAAATTGGTCTTTTATTATTGAACACTTTAAATCATACAATAATTTATTCGATATGATTTTTTCAGGTGATGGGCCAATATGCAACATATCTGGAATGTAACGAACTGTCGCAATTATTAAACAAATAAATATATAACATATTCTTCCAATACCACCAGATTGATTGGTTTGAGAATAGAAATATGCTTGTATACATATTCTAGACAAGATTAGCTAGGTGGCATGCAGTGCACCTGCACATGAACACATCTACTAATGCACGGTCGCCCGTCGCTATGCTTGTCTAGAATATGTATACATTTATTCTATTCTCAAACCAATCTCTGAATACCATAGGATTTGCTTATCAAAAAGTCATTGGAACGAGAGTCGGAATGACTGTCCCTGCTTGCCACAGTGTAATTCAATCGACTATTCATTCACACGTTCTTTTACTCCGCATAATCTTTATCGTTACATCGGTATAACACCTCGCGTTTCAAAAACAAGACTGAAACGAGATCTCAAATTCGGTATTCATTATTTGATTGGTGAGTGGTATTTTATATTCTCATCCTCTGTTTCTGGACAATATTCTTCAACAAAGTGAAGTGGTACATATTCAGCGATCAATTCACTAACGGCATCTATACAGATTGATTTGGAAGCATAAGTAAATGCTTTCGTCATAAGGTTTACACAAATGTTGCAAATGACATTTTGAACGTCATTCATGATTCAAGTTAATGAACTGCTGATAGGGACAAAAGCATTGCAAACTGAACGCTGAACGGTTCTGAATTGGCTGAATATATTAACATTGCGCTTCACTTTTTTGATATTTTTTTGTCATAAAATTCCACTCTTCCTTCTAAAAAAAAGTGTCGATCGGTGGAGCTGCGGCATTGTTCCTTGGATGCAGTTTCATAAGCTTCATTGAACCCATCTACTTTGTCGCCGAACATTTGTATAGGAAACATTTTGGCAAGGTCAATCTAATCGTTGTAAGACCGATTGAATCTGGTATGGATGACCATAACGCTGGGGGCAAGACACGGTATCAATTTGTCCTAATTCAACTATTTTGAACGATTTTTCCATTGTTTCTTCTAATTCCATAAGTTTTTGCTAATTTTTTAATTTTTTCTTCCACACATTTAGTATTACCAATGCATTCCTTATGGAGATTTTTGTTTTGTTTATTTATTGTTGTTTGTAAACAACAAAATCTGCCTATCTTTTTGCATTGTCTCTGTGTATTTCTTATGGACATATACTATGTACAGTGCAATGCGTTGATATAGGCAGACTTGTTGACAGATAACGGTAAATAAACAAAACAACCTCCATAAGGAAATGTATTGGCAATGCTCAATGTATGGAACAAAAAAGTTTCAGTCTCTCTAATTTCTGCTAATTTTGCTATTTTTAAACGAAATATCACTATTTTTTTAATCGTGTCTGTCCCCTAGCCATAACGGGAATACAAGTGCTCACACTCGATGTGCTATCATGGCCACAAAATTCGCAAAACGATTCTATTACTTTGTAAACAACAGTGGCTTACATGGCATCCGATTTTTGGATCGTCGATACGGATTAATTGATCGGTAAGAAAAGTTAACTTTTTATGGATGCAGTGCACTGCATCATCCCAATTGAATTCTTATTTCAGAGCATTTTGGATATGCGTCCTGATTGCATCGATCATCGCAATGACTGTTGTTTTTGTGTACACATTGAATGACTACGTGGATAGTCCAGTTGTTATCAATGTGGATCCAATTATCTCAAATAACAACACTGTATTTCCAGCCGTTTCTTTTTGCACTGCGAAATATCTTACCACCAATAAGAGAGTCTTTGATATAAGTACAGAGCGAGTTGTAAAATTTGTCAGAAAATATTACGCAGAACACAACATTGAAGAGCCACAACAGTAAGTTGATTGATGAATATTATCGAACAGACATGATATCATCTCTGGTATTTTCAGAGAAAACTTCTACGATCAACTTATGAGCTACGCCTATGAATTTCATACGTATGACCGAGAAAATGGATTCATAGAATTACCACTATGTAATGCAACCAACACCACCTGTGGCGTTGATATCGAAACTATAAAGCAACTGGTTTGCATTTATTCCGTCATCAATTTTCTTTTTATTTAAATTATCACTCAATCTTGTTTTTAGTTGTTTCCGCATTGCAATGAATTGATTTACAACATTCAGTTCAACGGCAAACGTTACAATAATTGTAGTGATCTATTCAAGCGCCACCTAGTTTATGGCGAAGGCGTGTGCTTTACAGTCAACTCGATCAATTTCTAGTAAATATGAATGGAATGTCTCGAAGCGAAGAAGTTCATATTTCTTTTTCTCTTTCAGTGATTTGGATTGGGACCAATTGCCATTAATTTACAATAGAAACCAAGGAAGCAGTAAATTCACTTTTGACCTAATCCAGAAAAGGGGCTATGGAATTAATGTGAGCTAAAATTGTTCGAAATTATTTATTCGAATTGAATTTTAATGTTACAACATTTCATCTTTTAGATTTATTTTCATAGTCCGAACGAATTACCAAACCAAAATGGTTGGGCTGCTCTAAATATTGATGTAAATGCGGATCTGGAGTTCATATTGAAAGTAACTCGAATTCAAAAAATGATTTCACCACAAATTTGGGTTGATTCTCTTTTTGTCTAGACATCACAGGTAGAAAATGATATGAATGTACGGGACTTATCAATTGATGAGCGGCAATGTCGATTCCCAGACGAGCGTTGGCCTTTGGATGCATCTCTTCCGTACAGTTTTTCCTCGTGCATGATTTATACTCGAGTTCAAATTGAGCTAGAGCGCTGCAATTGCACAATACACTTTGCACCAATCGAATGTAATGAACTTAACATTTGAAGGAGTAGAACTTTAAATCGATTGTCCGATTCGTTTTCATCCAATAGACAAAAATCAGTACTGCAATTACGAACAGATGAAATGCATTGAAAAACAAGAAACCGACCGATTAGCGTTTGACCATCATCAGTACATCAAGCCATGTCTTTCTGCCTGTAAAGAAGTGCATGTTGATTTTGTCGGGTACGTTGAATGGGTGGAATCAATTGAAATCACTCAAAAATCAAACTTCACTTCAAAATTAATTGATCCACAGAGATTATAAAAAGAAAAGAGCCATCGGCTACAGACCAGTTAGCGCGAATGATTTAACGTTAAGAACTGCGTCAGTGTCCATTGAAGTAAATAGTAAACCGAAACAATTGACTCGTTCAGCGCGCCTTACAGACCTTGACTTAGTCATCACCGTCGGTAGTATCATCGGTATATTTTTCGGTGCATCGCTTTTGAGTTTGTTCGAAATCATTCATCTTTGGGTTTTGCATTGATTTTAAATCATTTGATTAATTTTTGCTGAATTTTTGAGGATTTGTCACCATCTAAGTTATGCTAACACCGATCTGTGTAAAAAAATTTATTACATTTTAAGCTTTTAAATTGAGAATACTACTAGTAAGTTACTTTTAACAATCAAAATACCTAAATTGGTTATAATGAAAGCAAATCTGTCGAAAATATACTGCTGTTTTTTTTCTTTTCCATACGATCATGGGGAGAGACACCATTAGCTATTTTTTTGAAGTTCATATAAATACTAGAGGAAAATAGCAAAAATAGCAAAAAATAGCAATATTATTGAAGAAATAGCGATTTGTTATTTACTGTTTTTAACCGTTTAGAAAAAAGTTTTCGAGTTATTTTATGAAATTAAATGGAACAATTTGTTCTTTTCTATGAAATAACACTAAAAAAATTGCCAAAATATAATTTTTTTGCTTTCTTTCCAAGCATACAACTTGATGAGTGTTACTTGTACGTGAATTGTCAAACTGTCACGTTGCACATAGGAAATATTAGCAAAAAATAGCACTTTTATTGAGGGAAACTAGCAAAAATAGCATGCATTAGGAAACAATAGAATAAATTAGTGAAACTAGCGTTGGTGTCTCTCCCCTTGCATACGATCATGTCGTGCAAGAAAAGTATTAGGATCGCCCCAGAACGCTGTACGCAAAAAAATATGCTAAAAAATGTGCTATGTTTGAAATTAGCAATTTATTTTTTCATTGGGTGATTCAATCTACCATTACTTACATTCATTCTTTTTTATTTCAAAAATTATGATACAGATGATGAATTCCTAATGAAGAACTTTTGTACAACGATAACGGACGATTTTTTACCATATTAAGAATTTGTTTAGTCTTCAATGGTCGTTGCAGTGTGATGATTTTTATGAAATTCTCTATTTAGGGCAAGTGAGCGTTCAAATAATTTGGTGATTATAACATCTTATTCATTCAAAAAAGTTTCGTCATGCCTGTGCGCAAAAAGGCTTAAGACAATGGATGTCATCGTTTTACTTCAAGTATACACAGCACTGCTGTCTTATTTGCTCTGTTAGAACGTGCTGCATGCTGATTTATCCAAATATTCGATAGCAAACAAATATGCTTGCATCGATTTATCCAATAGGCACGTACGTCCAAAATGTGGAGGAGACAGCGCCATTGTTACTCTGGCGCCCGACAGTCTGACGAACATGAATGTAAGTTGAAGCGTAAATCCATGCAAACGGAAAAATCGACCGAATATTGCCATTTGGGCCATTTAGTTTCTGTGTATTGGTCGTTCAAGCATCTTCGCGGAGACGAAAATCTAAAGTGAAGCGTTTTCATTCCAGTGATTCTAACCGACAGTCGCAGTTGTAATTTGAAAGTAGAAGGACTGTAATGTAATTTTCACTGTTTCGGTGCAGTCACATACACAATATTAAATTATTTAAAAAAAAACTTCATCTTAACGAAAGTTATATATTGATGTAGTATAGCTTGGAAATGTGTTAATATAACCCGTATGTAAGTGTAAATAAGAAATTTCCAAAGATGGCATCCAAGTTTATGGCATTTGAGGGTGTCGCCAGCACATCTTCAGCCTCAATGGAAAATCACGGGAATGCAGAAGATGAGCGAATTGAAATGAATAGCAGCCAATATCCCAACTATCAATCAGGACAAAGTCCAGGAATACAAGCTGAACCCAGTCCATATGGTGCCGTTGATGAAGAGGACGATTTAAATGACAATTTTGAAGAAAAATTCGAAAAGAACATGGGCTACCGCAAATTCATTTTCAATAATTGTGAACAGTTTAAATGCATTTTTGGTGGTAAGTGCGCGTGAAATAACGTTCTGATTTTAAAAAATGCCTCACGTAAACTTAATCACAATTAATTTCAGGCTTGTTGCTTCTGGCTGGCAGTGGCATCCACGTTGTATGGGGAATATTTCGAGTTTTCTATTTATATAATTGCGAAGAAAAGAATAGCTTTCATTTTCACTTCGTCATTTGGTCATGGTATATTGGTGCGATAATAGGAAGTGGTTTGGCTGGCTATGCTATAGCTAAAATTCGCAAAGGTCATCTTTATGTATGTATTGAATCAATGCTATTGTTTATTATAGTTTAATTTAGATTTGAAAATGTTTTTTTCTCTCTTTTTGCCTTTCTTCTGAACGAAAATATGATTTGACAGATCATTGGAGGTGCATTGCTTTCTCTCAGCGGCATATTTTTGATGTTTTCCACCAATAATACTGATATTTACCTGCTCGTATCGCGAACCTTAGGAGGGCTTACTCAGGGACTGACATATGTTGTCGTTATCGTTCACGCAAGTGAAAATGCGACGAAGGAATTTCGTGAAATTCTTATGTTGATCGTTGGAGCAGTGCTGAATTACTCAATTCTGTTATCAGTATTGGCATTCTTCCACACGGAAGGTCTATTCAAATCGAGTGTGCTCAATGGAATCGGGTTGCTCATCTTTGGTTTAACCACCATCATTATTTCAACAAAACATGCCACTGAAACGGTTCCGTTCATTCTACAGAATGATGGAGGCGATTTGGATGCTCTGCAGACTGTGAGTAAACTGAAAAAGAAACCAATTGCCGCACGCAGTGTTCATCATGATTTTTTAACAATGAAAAATTTGGTGCATGATGAAATGGAATCGTATGGAGCGCCCAACTTTAAGAAGGTTCTATTGCCAGAAAATCGTAAGAGCTTAATATTTTGTTTGTATGGTCGACTGTGTAGTGTTTTGTCATTCAATCTGCCGCTAATTGTGATGATTATGCTGTTTTTGCGACAATGGGCAGATGGTCATTTCGAGACACCCAAACACCATGCAAAACAACATTGTCTTTCCTTCATCAATGGAGACATCGAACGCGGCAGAACCGAGAATCATACTGGTGAGATCGATTCGAAAGTTGTAGAACGAGCGAAAAGAGATTCTGGTGTTGAAGTGAGTACAGATAAACCCAAATTCATGCAAACTGACAATCAACCGGTGCAAAGCGAAAAAAGTGAGGAAAACAAGAAAGGGAAAAGTAAACAGGTTTCGCAGAAAACGGAAGATGAAGAAAATCGAGCTAGGAAAGATCATGAAGAAGGAAAAGAAAATAAAAAGGAAAAAGAAATAGGAGGGCCAGGAGGGAAGCACAGAGAAAATGAATCCAAAGGCGAAAGAGATGATTCAAAATCAAGCCTTGATCAAGAGAATGGAAAGGAACAAACACCAGAGGGCAAATCGAAGAAACCTGAAGAAAATCACAGCCCCGAGGAAAAGAAGGAGAAAGAGAAGGAGAAGGAGAAAGTGGAAGAGAAAGAGAAAGAGGAAGAGAAAGAGAAAGAGAAAGAGAAAGAGAAAGAGAAAGAGAAGGAGAAAGAGAAAGAGAA